AGCTATGAATCCCACACGCTGCGGGTTGCGGGCCCCGCGGTGTCTTTAGAAGATTTTCCCCTGCCCACAAAAAAAAACGTAGACAGTGGCAGGCAGAGTCAGACAGACATAGACAGACAGACATAGACAGACAGACATAGACAGACACACGTAGACAGTGGCAGGCAGAGTCAGACAGACATAGACAGACAGACAGACACAGACAGACATAGACAGACACACGTAGACAGTGGCAGGCAGAGTCAGACAGACACGGAGACGAAGATACAGAGATAAATGGATACGCATTTAATTTACTTACGATTTAATACCACACTATATGTTTCTAAAATTCAATACATTAAATATCACGCTAAAATAATACTAGTGGTGCTGTAGAATGGAATAGACTCCCTCATATTACTTTTCTACTTCCTCTGCTCTCGGCTAGCTATACGACTCCCCACATACTCTTGACAGCTGCCATCTATCGCCGCCCGAACTACACTTTTTTTTTTTGTAATTTTCTTAATTTTCCGGTTTCCTAATAGTGGTACCGATATACTATTTAAAAATTTTAAGTAACTATAAAAACTTGGACTATGTGGTAATTTTCTTTGAAAACTTTGGAGCAATGTTTAAGAAAATGACCCATAAGCGTCATTGCAAATTCAAAATTTGAAGCTTTTTTTGATAGGAAATTTTTGAGTGTTCGAAAAACTTCATCTGAAGTTATTTCAAGCACTTACACTCAAAAATAAAGTAGTGTTTACAAATTCCCGGAAATGTAGATATTAACATCTTAGGTTTAGATTTATTTAGTCAAAAACAGTAAAAACTGTAAAAGCTTAGGAGATCTTTCAAAAAAAAATACTTTTGTATAATTTTTTAAAACACAAAAAATACCCGGAAATGAACGTTAGATCATACTAAAGACTGGAAATAGTACTATCCGTTTGAAAAGTTTGCAGAAAAAATTTGGAGCCGCTTTTGAGAAAATTGCGTTTGAACATTTCTGATAATGCGGAATTTGGAGCTAGTTTTCACAGAAAACGGTTGAGTTTTCGAGAAACTATATACGACATTCTTTAAAGAACATGTACTCATCAATAT